AGAAAAGATGGACAATAAAATATAAAATATACAATAATATAAAATATACAATATATAATACTTATGGTAGTGCAAGTGACATTATATATATATATATATATTAGTGTATATATCAGTGGGACACATACAGCATTGTAGCTCCTATTCATAGAGACACTGGTCCACAAACTCTCATAAGGAATTTAAATTATGCCGCTTATACCACAATATTTAACAAAAATATCATAGATGGAGTCAAACTGAATCCTAATAATGGTTAAATCATGTATTGAAGAAATTACAGAGCGAGTCTGGTGAAGGTTTTGTTTACAAAATGCTTATTTTGTCCAGTCCGAGGCATATTACTAACATAAACACAATTGAATCTGTCAAATAGGTGTCTTGTTTGATTGATAGATAAAAAAAAACTACACGTAAACATCTCTTGACTATTCTGACTGTGGCCTAATAGAGTCGCAAAAGGTTTTCTATGACAAGGGGACAGTCTCCGAGTGGCACCTCCTCCTTTACGGCAAATGGAATATGGCGGAGGGTAAGAAATCCCCAGACGGGCTGGAGCTCAGCAAGGTATGAATTCCAAATAACTAATATAGCTGACAGTGGTTACTGAGAGTCAGGGACAAAACATAGAAGTATGTCGTGTTAGTTATTTTGAACAGAATAGTTTGACCGCGCAGTTAAAGGCTGCCTAGTTACCAGGTTAGCATTCGTAGTTAGCTACTGATGCTAGCTACATAAATGGTTAAAATGTCTCTGCAGAGGCTACAGTACTTCTAGCTCACCAACAGTGAGTGTATGCCACTGGTTTAGGAGTCAGGACGTGTTAGAGTTGACAACACAGTCGGGTAAAATATGTCAGTGTTTGTCTCGTATGTTAATCTCCATCCTGTGGTATTTTGGTGGTCGCTTTTATCCAAAGCGCCTCAATAGGAGTTGCCATTGAGTTTGTACATTTTGAGCGCTGCTATCTCGACCTCAATCTCTTTCACCTTTTTGTCAGTCGTGAACCAGCAGTGTAAAAGTGAAACTGGCCTACCTGGATTTGTTTATATTACGGTAACGTTAGGTATTTACAGTTTTACACTGGCGATAACATTGACTTGATGGAGTGCAACAAACAAAACAGAGCAATAAAGAAACATTGTTTTGGTTTTTCTTGGAAACGTGGACTGTTAAAGCTCCGCAGAACCAGCACTATAAAATATGAAAATGATCTGAGATCTAGTGTACAACGGGAAAGTGTGTCGTAAAACAGGGCACTATATTAAAATCCATATTTATGCACAGCTGTGAGTAATGTAAAAAGGTTTATATTATTTAAATCTACTACATGTTTTATGAAGAAAAACACTCATTCTACTTCTGTTCTATATTTGATTTCTCTATATGGGTCCTGACATACTACAGCATTAAGCATTACTCTGCCCTTGTCAATCACTAGTCTCTGTGATTCACTCCTGTGCAAAGTGCACTGTAATGTCAACTTGATTACTCTGCTCTATGCCCCTTTAAACTTTGGGAAATAAATACCTAGATACACTTTCCTCAGAGGGTTCAGAAAGTATTTCCTAGGTCTACTGGTACGTAAAGTCACTCACACATAATTTAGACCTAAAAACATTGAAATACCAACACCATCTTTGAGTTACTGTTAGAATTTTTTTAATGGCAATCAAAGTAACAATCTTTTTTTAACTTGTGCACTGTCATATACTGTATAATATATATATATATATATATTATGGTGGTGTAGCTGTCAGTAAATTCACAGTAAATCTTCTATATCTGCATAGATATCTGGCCGGTCCAACAGTTTTAAAACTACCCTGTGTACACGGTGCTTTTTGTGTGTGTCAAAGTGAAAAAACTTCAGTAATTCAGCAGAAATCAAAAGTAAGCAGTATGACGTATTCCTTCCTAAAAACTTGACTTACTAGAAATCATCTGGGAAGACTTATTTTTTCTGGTTGTTTCCACACTTTAGATTTCTAAAGACTAAATGTGAAAGTAAGTAGTAGCATCAGCAGTTAATACAAAATCATATATTTATGCCTTCATCACAAAACATTTACATTTTCATATTTTTTTTTTTATCAAACACCCTTAAACCTATGATGATGCATTTGTTTTTTTGACATGATGCATTGCTAAAGGCAAATGTTTTGTTGTGCATCACTAAGAGAACAATGGCGTATATCTGCGGTTATGTGTCATTTGGTGGAGACCGATGTAAGTCATTGCAAACAAGTCATGCTCCTCTCTTTTCTCCTGTAGGAATGGCTGGAGGCTGCAGACAGCAGGGCGGAGCTACTCCGTTACCTGAAGGAGCAGGTGCCCCAGATCTTCTGCCTGAAGACGGAGCCCAGCCCTCAGGAGGAAGAGGAGCTCATGCAGAGCCGACTCCTTCATCCTCTGGAGTGTTTCCTGTTTGGAGAGGATCCTCAGGAGGGTCTGGAGAAGCTCAAGCAGGGCTGCACCTCCTCTCAGCTTTGTGGACGTGTCTTCAAGGAAGGAGAGACTGTCTACTCCTGCAGGTCTGAATAGATCCTCTGATCGTCTGTAATAAATAACTAACCACAATAATAATAGGAGTTATGATATCATACTATTACATATATTCACAACATGTACAGATACCATTATAAGTATTTGTTGTTATCAGTAACTAACATTTGGGCTAACATAAAGTATTCACACACTCAGCCACAGCGGTATCTGGGGTTAATGGGTGAGGTATAAAGCCACAGAGTTCAAATACAGGAATACATGGAGACTATTTGACATCATTAAGTACTTTGAGGGGCAATAGTTTGGCCTGAATAGGTCTTAGTTCTATAGTGATCTAATTACAGGACAACCCTGCAGTATTTAGGCTAAGAGTTAAAAATGAATAGTTAATGAGTGGACTCTCTCTGGTTTCAGTATGTGGAAGTCCATGGATGGACCTGAATGATGTGTCCACTGTATCACTCACATAGATGTGTGCATCTGCTTGTCCATCAGTTTTTGGGGTAGTTCTGCAGAGCTGTATTTAAGAAATGGTGCCTCCTTGCATAATTAGACATAATAAAAGTCAGTGGTATATTCCAGTACTTATTCTCTATGAACAAGGTAAGGCACTGTCAAGATAGATAGATAGATAGATAGATGGATAGAGTACTTAAATAGCAGACTCTTAAGAACAAGAACTGTCATAGAACAAAAAATAATTAGTCAAAAAACATGAGAACTGCAACAAGTCACTTTAACATAACAACGATGAGTACTTTTAAAATAACTCAAAGAATACTTAGATTAATAATAACTTAAGTAAGATCAAGTAACAACTGAACTTTTTTTTAGGGATTGCGCAATAGATCCCACTTGTGTCTTGTGCATGGACTGCTTCCAGGATAGCGTGCACAAAAGTCATCGTTACAAGGTTGGTATCAATATAAATGATTTTAATAAAATGTTTTATTTGAGGACATTAGCTTCTTCTACCTCGGTATAATAGAAAGTCACAGATCAGGAGATTCCTGTTTTGAGATTTGACATCTTTATATGGGCCCAAATATACTAAAGCATCAGTACCTTGCCCTTGTCAACCTTTAGTCTCTGTGATTCACACAGGATTACCTTCCTCTGTGCACCTTAAACCAAACATATTTCTCTATATACACTAAGATTCATGATTGATTAATTCAGGCCTTTCATGTTGAAACCCCAGTGTTGCATAATGACACATTCCCACAGTTAAAGCAGTTGTATAACTTAATTGCTGTTGTGTGTATCCATTACTTGCCCTCAGTGACAAAAAGCATGTGCATGGGTTTTTTCCCCCCCAGATGCACGCGTCATCAGGCGGGGGCTTTTGCGACTGTGGGGATGTTGAAGCCTGGAAGATCGGCCCCTGTTGCTCCAAACACGACCCGGGGGCAGCCACTGCCATGGTAACGGTGAGTTACATAATCGAACAGAAAGAGGGACGTGGGAGGGGCGTACTTGTCCCATTCTGTGTCAGTGAACCCCAGAGTGCTTATTTTCCCATCTTAGTCCTGGGTGCTGCTCTCTTGGCTGTGGCTTTGGCTCCGGAAACGAGAAAGAAAAAAGCACTTTGTTGACCTGCACCAACTAAGAAAATGTATTATTAGGTTAAGATATTAGGAGTGTGATCGAGTGCGTGGAAGCAGGTGTAAAACCGTTGTCAGTCAGACTGTTTGAGGGCAGCTTTTCTACAATTGCTTTAATCCAGCTGAACTGTGCAGGGATGTTTTCAGTTTATAACTTCTTTTACCAAAGTGCTGCGGGGAAAACATTTTGATGACTGGTTTGTTCCTGTTGAGCAGTTGTTTGTCAGGCCTTTCTTTGCTGATCACAGTGTTTGGGCTTTTCTCTGATAAGATCATGCTGGCCTATTGAGCAGATGTACAGCTTGACAGCTCTGTGCCTGATTGCGTAAACAGCAGGTGCTTCTCTTAACAGAGACATCACTGGCACCAGTCTGGGAGGCTGCCTTATGTTTTCTACACCAGATCTGAACCTGTGCAACAGGCAGTGAAAAATTCACATGGCCACAAACGCATCAACACACTGAACCTGCTGTTTCAGATCCCTTGTTTAGATTGTGGTAGACTCCAGTGCTTCTTCTCACACAGTAGTGTGACGTAGAGACAGACTGGTGTAAATACACAGACTCACTGTATGTTTTGTTTGGTTTGTGTGTCAAATGTCAGAC